CTTCTTTAGGCAAGGTGTCCATATTAGAGAGTATCTATAGGAGATGTGTCATCGGGTTAGATGAATCTGAGTTTATCATTAATCTGATCGTTTTGTGTATTTTTGAGTTCGACATCATCCTTAGTATGGATTGGTTATCGTCTTACTTCATCAGCTTGACTATTTTACCAAAATAGTCAGTTTGCGAGCGTCCGATGGGACCGAGTTGATAGTAGCAACCTCACATGGCAACTAGTTTGCAGAGTTATTCTGGGTGTACATCGAGGAGGTGATGCTGCGAGATTAGAGTACTGATTTGTGCGAGACTAGAGTCATCTCAGAGTATCAGGATATCTTTTAGGACATATCTGGGTTACCTCCTGTGAGAGAGTTTAAATTCTACAACGAGTTGTAGCCGGACACAGCACCTATATCCAAAGTACCCTATCGTATGGCACCTGCTAAGATGAAGGAGTTACAGACACAGTTGGATGAGATTTTATCTCATGGTTTTATTCGTTAGAGCCATTCTCCGTGGGGAGCACCGGTCCTCTTCGTGAAGAAGAAGGACGGTAGTAAGCGCTTATGTATAGATTATCATGAATTGAATAAGATCACCATCTAGAATTAATATCCACTACCGAGTATTGATGACTTATTCAACCAGTTGCAGGGAGCATAGTATTTCTCAAAGATTAATCTTCACTCTGGCTATCATCAGTTATAGTTTCGGGAGGTGGATATTCCTAATACCGCCTTTCTGACTCGATATGGGTCCTTCAAGTTTCTTGTCATGCCATTTGGGCTGACCAATACACCTGTGGTATTCATGAATTTGATGAACTAGGTTTTTTGTCTATATTTGGACCAGTTCGTGATCGTATTTATCAATGATATCCTTATCTATTCGAGATTGGAGGCAGAGCACGAGAAACATCTTTAATTAGCTATACGGACTTTGCAGGAGCACCAGTTGTACGCTAAGTTTAGCAAGTGTGAGTTTTGGCTATCCGAGGTCATATTTTAGGCTATGTTATCAGCAAGGAGGTCATAACTATAGATCCAGCTAAGGTAGAGGTAGTACTTGATTGAGAGCCGTCGAAGACCATTGCAGAGATTTGTAGCTTTTTAGGTCTGACCGACTATTACAGGAAGTTCATCCAGGACTTCTCGAAGATCGCTACGCCATTGACACGCCTTACGAAGAAGGGTGTATAGTTTGTTTGGGGGCTAGAGTATCGGGAAGCCTTTGAGACTCTAAAGGTTAAGTTGACTACAGTGCCAGTGTTGATTATCTTGAGCAGTGATAAGACCTTTGTCGTCTATATGGATGCATCGTTATTAGGTCTAGGAGGCATTTTGATGCAGACCCAGAGAGTAGTGTCCTACATTTCTCAACAGTTGATGACTCATGAGCAAAACTATCCCGCACATGATTTGGAGTTAGCAACAGTAGTCTTCGTACTGAAGACATTGAGAAATTACCTTTATGGAGTGTAGTTTGAGCTGTTCACAGACCACCGGAGTCTAAAGTATCACTTCTCCTAGAAAGAACTCAACCAGAGGTAGCGGCAGTGGGTCGAGTTTATTAAGGATTATGAGTTTGTGATTCAGTATCATTTGGGAAAGGCGAACGTGATAGCAGACGCACTAAGTAGAAAGCGTCGTCATCAGATTTCAGCTTTGATATGTTCATTATATCAAGATATTCGCAACTTTAGCCAATTCGATTTGATGCCAGAGATAGGCGGGAGTAGTACATTTTTAGGAGCTTTAGCCGTGCAATCATCTTGGACTGATAGAGTGGTCAGAGCTTAGCTGGAGGACTCTTGGATTCAAACCTAAAAGGAGGAGATTTTCAAAGGGCCAAAGGCTGATTATGTTGGTCTTTTTGTTTTGATGATGTTTTAACAAATAATTTACAGCTAATATTATTTGTCTAGTGTTTATATTTTCTTATTTATTCTAGGTAAATAATGATGTTGGAGGATAGATGGACTAGAGCTTTCACGATCATACCCTTTGGAGGATGGAAGGAATATCAGTATGAAGTAATGCAATTCACGTTGAAGATCCAAGTTCATACTTCATCCGCAAGTTTACCAAGTTATGCTTATTGAAGACCTTCATCAAGCTTGGGTATATTTAGTTTAGGTGTTATATTATGTGTGTTGGTACTTTAAGCTCAATATCACATACACACACATAAACTTTGTTTTCTATGTATATATATATATAGTTATATATATATACATATATGTTTTGGTTCTTAACTTTATATAAATATGAAATTACATTTTTTTCATATTTATTGTTTTTGTTTTGGTTTAGCTATATTGATATGAAACAACAAACAATTTTATACACATTCTCATTTGTTTCATATTCTTTGTGTTTTAAAAAATATTGCATAGAATATGTATTTTTGTGAAAATATTATATTCTTAGTTTTTAGACTTAACAATCACCATATACATATCTTATCAAGTCTCTATAATTATTTTATAAAGTTTTAAAACATGGTTTAGTCAAAATGTTAAAAACAAGTATTGTTCATTTTCATGTTTTGGACTATTTTATAAAATGAATAGATTTCTCATTTGGGAGGTTTTATTTGAAAACCAGTTTCTGTAACATGTTCATTTTCATGTTTACAAGCATTTCACAAAGTTTTATATGTTTTTGATTTTATTTGCTATTTTAAAAGGAGTTTAAAAATCAGTTTTACTATTCATAACAGGCTGATATTGTGTTATCGGTCGACTGATGAAAGTGTTCAGTCGACCGATAAAAATACCTGGATTCATCAATAGTTTTTATTTTTATGTTGGTTTATTGACCAGTCGATTGATGAGGTCATCAGTCGACTGATAAGGCCGTCAGTCAAATGATGCTGTAATGGCTAGTTTTTTCAGCCTTGTACTATTTTGGGTTTTTGGTCATTTTCTTGGAGTTTTGGCTGATGTCTTGGGCTGTTATAAATACCCCATTGCATTTCTCTCTCCCACTAACTAGTGAAAATTGTTTATACAAGTTTACAAAAGAGTTTAAGGGTTTTAAAGTTTGTTTTAGTGTTTGTTTGGTTTGTGAAGAAATTTTCACAAGTGGAGGAGATCATCTTCATTGTTTGAGCTTCAATCTCTATCTCTCTATCTTATTTTTTAGAGAAGAATTACTAAACGATATTTCTAGCTATTTATTGTTTTGTTCATTTTTCATAAGCTTGATTTTAATTGAGTTTAGACTTGTTTTGATTTATTCTCTTTGTTCATACAAAACCATTAAGCTTATTGTCTTTGCATACATAGTATAATTTAGGGTTGTGGGTTTGTGACTTAGAGAGCGAGCTTAATTGAGTTCTCATCTAGTTATAGAATAAATATTTGTATTTGTGAGCCTTTATTGTGAGTTACACTTTGGAATATACTTGTACACCAAGAGGAGTGTGTGGTGAGAGACGGGGTCGTTCCAAGAGGAGTGTGTGGTGAGAGACGGGGTCGTTCCAAGAGGAGTAGGGTAGGTGGTAATACGTTGAGGTAGGTTGTAATTCCTAACACTTGGAGGAGACACGGGCTAGAGACCAATACTTAGAGGGTGTAAAATAGGATTGCAAGAGTGTGGATTATAAAGTTTTTAGCGAACTAGAAAACCAATATTGTGTGGTGTAAACGTTATTTAGGTGAGCGTAGAAAACCCGATTGTGATAGTAGAAATCTTCTCGAGGTGAGGAGCGGAGATGTAGGTCAAGTGGTTGACCGAACTTCATGATCATATCGTGTGTTTATGATTATCATTGGCACATTTACTTTTGTGTTTATCTTATACCACCATTGTCTATTACTCTTTGTGTATATTGCCCTATCACATTTGTAGTTTGTTTAATTTACCATTGTGTTATTTGTATATCCTTGCATATATAACTTGTCACATATCATATTTGCTAGGATATTTGTTAATTTGTTTTTAATTGGCATAAATCAAATAAGATTAGCATAAACCCTATTCACCCCCTCTAGGGCTCTTTCCTAGTGACATTAGGGTGTTTTTCAGATTGGGCCGTTGGAGCAGATGAAGGTCTTCGAATAAAAGGCTGATTAGTGATGCCAAATAATACACAACTGAAGAAGGACTTATTTGATGAGGCACATCACACCAGGTACACAGTGCATACAGGCACAACCAAAATGTACAAGGACCTAAAGAGACATTTTTGGTGGAGCGACATGTGTAGGGAGATTGTGGAGTATGTATCTAAGTGCTTTACCTGCCAGCAAGTAAAGACAGAATATCAAAGACCCATAGGAACCCTACAGCATTTACCCATTGCTGAGTGAAAGTGGGTAGATATTTCTATGGATTTTATTGTAGGCTTATCGAGATCTAATAAAGGGAATGATTCAATTTGGATGATTGTAGACCAATTGACGAAGTCGGCGCATTTTATACCAGTGAAGACGACTTATACAACGAAGGCTTATGCGAGAATTTTTATTCGGAAGATCATGAGACTACATGGAGTTCCAAAGATGATTGTATCAGGCTGAGGTTCGGACTGAGGCTCGGTCTTCAATTTGGATATTTGCTAGAAGAGTTTTCAAAATTCTTTCGGCAGCCAGCTATCGTACAGCAACGTTTTCCAGCCGCAGACAGATGGCCTAACAAAGAGAGTCAACCTAGTGTTGGAGGATACGTTACGGGCATACATCATTGATTTCTAGGGTAGCTGGGAAGATAATATCCCATTGATTGAGTTTGCTTATAACAACAGTTATCTAGCAACTATAGGTATGATACCATATGAGGCGTTATACGGGAGGTCTTGTAGATCCCCGATTTGTTGGGCAGAACCGGAGGACAACTTGTTACTTGGACCGAAGCTTGTAAGATAGACTATAAAGAAGGTAGCAATAATTTGGGAGTGTATTCTTGCAGTACAGAGTCGATAGAAGAGCTACGGAGATCAGAGGCGACGACCGCTAGAGTTCCAGGTTGGGGACTATGTTTTATTAAACGTATCGCCGATGAAGGGAGTTCAACAAATTAGCAGATGGGGAAAGCTTGTCCTAAGATATATTGGTTCGTTCCAGATTGTTGAACATATTGGAGGTATTTCATATCGGCTAGATCTTCTAACATCGATGTCGAGCATACATGATATTTTCCATGTTTCGATGCACAAGAAGCATTTACGTAATGAGGAGCAGCTGCGAGTGTTGGACGCACCGGAGGTTGAGATTCATGATGATTTGACCACTATTGAGACTCCAGTTCGTATTATTGCAAGAGAAGAAAAGAGACTTAGAAATAAGGTGATTCCTTTAGTCAAAGTTTAATGGAACAGGAAAGGACCTGAGGAGGCTTCTTAGAAGTGCGAAGAGGATATAAGTCGCGACTACCCACACCTGTTTGAGCAGGTAAAATGAATAGTTATGAAATGCTTGTGTTCATGATTATCTATCTAGTTATATTTATGATAATCACATTTTTATTATAATTTTATACCCTCATTATCTATTTTACATAAATAAATATACCATTAATAATTGTTTTTATCTTTAATTATAGGTTAATCAAGAATAAAACCCAAGATCTCTTCTCTCAACAAAAACCAATGAATTAAATGAAGAATACAAGCAAAAGCCAAAAAGCCCAAACCTAGAATCAAGCCGAGTAGCTTGTAGAAGCCGGAGAAAATAAAAAAAATCATATTTAAAAAAAATGTATTTAAGATGGTTGGCCGCAAAGAAACGACGATATCTCCTAATCCGGAAGGCACAATTTAACATATAATATATAAAAATCGCCTATATCGATGAGATGAAGCCAACCGTGAAGTCAAAATTTTTATTAGAGTATCGATGCTAGCATCGATGCGCGCATTAATGCGGACATCGATGCCTGCATCGATGTCAGACATTCTGTTATGCATCAAAGGCTAAAAATGGATTGTTTTGGATAAGATTTTGATCCAATGGCTCACATTCACTGATGTTTACTATAAATAAGGGTAGAGAGTAAGGGATTAAGGGTGTAAAAATTTTTGTAACTCTATTTGGAGAGGAGGGCCACTCTTAATTGAGAAGGCTTTCCAAATTTATAATTTTTGTTACAATTAATAAAATAATTTTTCCACCATTTTAAATATTTTTTTCTTTTTGTTGGATGATGAAGATGGAGATGAATTATTTGGAAGTTTGCATTTCTTTTATTTTTCTCTTTTATTTTTTTTAGTAATTTCTTTATTATTGCTTATTAGTTAGATTTACATTCATGCTTGTAGTGTAGATTTATTTTTTATTTTTTTGCACTTTAATTTGTAGAGTAGATTTATTTTCTTGTTCATAGTTTAGATTTTTTTTCTTTTTATTTTTGTAATTAGTTCTTTTTCTTCTTGTTTTTATTTCTTAAGATGTAGAACTAATTTTTGTAGGAATCTTAGAATTGCATGAAATTAGATTTATTTCCTTTATATTATATGGATTATTCTCTTATGTTTAAAATAATCATGTATAGGATAATCAACTAGAGAACTAATTGGTAGAAGAAGAATTTGATAATCTATGCTTATCTTGAGTGATTTGATAGGTTATGCTTATGAATTTTAGAATTATTATCTAGTTGTTGTTCTTGTCATGAATATTAATTTTGCTTAGATGATAATTTGATAGGTTATACTTCCTTAAATGGATTGATAGTCTATGCTTAATAAATCTAAAGTAAAATATTATAAAAAGAGAATAGTTCATATTTTGTAATTGAAATTAGCTAGTGGATTCAATTCTAGATTTCTCATATCTTTAATTGAACCCTCCATCTTTTATTTTCTTGATTTTTCTCTTTCTTGCTTTTTATTTTCTTCTTTGATTCTTTCTTCTCTCCTCTAAAATTTAATTTATTGTCACTTGCATATATTCAAAACAGTCATTCCTCATATCTCTCCACAACCACAATTTTCATCACTCCTAATTGTTACGCACACAACATAAGAACCGATTCTAATTTTCTCCTACAATACACCTTCCTCATGGGATCGATAACTTTTTATACTATAACTTAACACGGTTGTACACTTACAATTTTTGGGTATATGTTTATGCCGCATTAATTTATATTTAACACTGGAATGATGATATTAACACTTAGCCCCTAATCATTCAGAGCATATAGTATATACATGGGGGGTTCCTTGTTTGGAATTTTTACCCGACGTACTAGTTCCATTTAGTTAGGGGTTAAGTGGGAGTATTTATATTGTAAATTGTTAAGTGTAAATATCGCTTATGTTTCATATCTGGAGATTAATGGTATGAGATATGTACATGAGGGTTTCCTTTTTGGATTATCCCCTCAACGTGTTTTTCTTGTATTATTAATCTTTAAGATATGCTTGTGAAATTTCGGGGATAAAATTCTTTTAGGGGGGATTAATGTAAAACCCCATAATTTTTTGATATATTATGATAAATAATAATAAATGAGTTATATCATGATAAATTTCATTTATTAATGGTTGGGTATGCTAGGAATCGATTTGAGATCGATTAAGTGTATATTTGTAAATAAACGAGTGTAAACATGCACATAACCATGCACATACCAAAACTGTTAGTCAACCTGCGCGTTTTGGGTTAGTTAACCTGCACGTTCTGGGTGATCGACCAGGCTAAATTGATGAGTCGATTGATGATACTCGAATGGTCAACCGATCGGTTGTGGCGGGTCAACCGACGGGCTCCCAGCGTGCAGGATTTGTGTTCGGGTCGGTTTTGTTTTGTTTCAGGCCCAGTTATATACGAGAGTATATATATATACTCATTTTAAACCCCTTTTCCCTAACTTTTAATGTATTTTATCAGCAGCCACCTTCCCTCTCAAACCCTAACCCTAATCTTTAGTTTTAGGGAGTTTACCTGAGGCGTTTATCAAGAGGAAGGCTGAATCTACGAGCTTGGCGAAGAGGAATCTTGTATGCATGTGTTTGGGAGTTCAACACGATGTTTGAGGTAAAATCACCTCTATCCAAACCTTTCCCTGGTTTTAAAAATCAAGTTTTATGTGTTTATTATGATATTTCTCATGCTTAAAGTTAATCTAGTGTATTAGAATTTAACTTATGATGTTTAAAACTTAAATCAGGCTATAAACAGTAGAATTCTTTTCTGTAATTTGTTTAGCACATGATCATGATCATATGATTTTACTTTAACATGTTAATTACAGTTTAGTTAGCTTTGGTTAATACGCATTAGTTTGTCAAAATAAACAAGAATTTGACTAATTTGATTACTAAATCCTAGATCCATGCATACAAGTGATTTATCATGGTTAAATAAACCCCTGTTGATGTTATTCATGAGTTTTGAATCAAGTCTTGATCATTGTTATTTAAAAATATGTTGTTAATTAAGAATTTTTGTTAACTAGGATGTTTAACCCTAACTGTTTAATTTCAAGAGAATAACCATGTTTAATTTAACCATTGTTTAGTAATTACGAAAGTTTAAATCATGTTTTGCTTTGCTTGCTAACAAAATTTTATTTTTGAGATAAGTTATGAAACACAGAAACCTGAGAAAAAACCGATATAGTGAAATCAATCAACCGATCCTAAGTGATCAGTCGACCGATTGTGTCATTAAAGATTTTTGAATCCTTTCTGGTCGATCGACCGACTAGAAGCAAGCAGTCGACCGATAAGGTCTTTTCCGCATGCACTCTATGCACGTTTGCCGACGGTCGACCGATGCCCTAGGGGCAGTCGAGTGACACTTTTTGTTGTGCGTGATGATTTTTCTTGCACGTTTAATCATGAACACGAGGTTCGAGCTGTACAACGACACACGTGCAATCATGGGTGTACACGAATAGAGTTGTCACACATATATGGATATCCCAAAGAGGATTATTACAGATATTATTTCGATCATGTTTGAGTAACAATTAATTATAATACGTATATATGTATGGGTATTGTTGGTGAGCACAACTCAGTACTACTTGAGATAGTGCGTCGATATACCGTTAATATAGGCCATTGAGTCATGATTTTAGGATACATGATTTGGTAGTCCATCCCGCACGGTGATGCGATGAGACTAATGATCCATGTACATATCTACGATGCCTGATCCGGTAGTCCGTATCGCATGATAATGCGACGAGTTATAAAGCCTTATGAGATATTGTATTGTGATATATCTGATAGCCTAAGTCCTTGGCGGAAGCTATTAATGAATATGAATCATCGCTTAGTTATATTATGATTGGATTACTTTGTGTTTAAGAGTTACAGGAGATTTAGTTTTTGTATCCACATCATCTACCCAAGGGTAGCGGGAGTTATATGTTCAAAATTTATGATATTGTATCTACTTTACTTTTCTGTATTGCTTTCCTTTATCTTTTATTTTTAGTTTGGAATTGATATTTAGAAATTCACAATTTGAGATATATGGTGTATACATGAGGGTTTTTTTATTTGGATTATTTCACTCGAAGTACTATGTCTCATGTTGTGGATTTCTAAGTATTAATCTCATTTAGATACATGGTAAATGATTTAGGTAGACTATGCATAATAGATAGAGCCTTCATCACATTTAGGAGCCCTTCCCCTAGGGGCGGATGTAGATGATCTTGCTAAAGCGCTTTGACGCTGTTGTTGCTTTCCTTTTTGTTTCCCCTCCTTTTTAGGTAGTGGATCAGAGTGTCAGAGAGCCACAGGTTGGCGGATTTACAGCATAGTCGGCGTCACTTATTTTTAGTAGTTGATACTCCATAGTCATTTAATTATGGTTTAGTTGATCATTAGACTTGTATTTCATTTTGTAAAGGTTGTGTGCCTTAGTATTATTTTTATTTGACTCTATGTATTAAGTTTCTTCACATTTATTTCAGACGGACATGAGTATGTTTATTTGGATATCTCTTTTTATGTCATGTTCATTGCATTTATTTCTCTTATTTTGCCTGTTTTATACCTACACTCATCATTGATTCCACTAGAGAGATATTACTGTGATGGTGAAATATGTTGTTGCACAGTGTGGGTGCATGATAGGTTTGATATTTTTGGGTTCACCTTGGACTGCACTATGTGTGAAAACAGAGGCGTCACAGAAACATATCAATCACAAGCACAGACTTGTGATGAAGACTCAATTGACCATATCAGTCGTAGGTCAAATTAATATTTTCATAAGCGATGTTCATTCATCGAAAGCCAAATAGTCAAAGTTGCTTAAGAACAACGATCACAATTTTAGCCAAACTGAAACTCCTTCTGATCTAAAAGACTTCCTTTCTCTGAAGAGAGCTATCCAATGTTAGCATT